TTCTTCCTTCCTTCCTTCCTTCCTTCCTTAGAACTGGCAAATTTTTAGCATCCTTCAAGCTGCATAGCTTTAAGATTGATCAACCGTCCTTAATTTTGCAATCTAAAATTTGAATTCATTTTGCAGCTTCGGGCCTTAAATGTGAGGCTGGGTGCAAGGTCAGTTCGGGTGTACCGGGCTCAGAAAAGGCTTGTAACGGAATGACAGGCGGTATGATCACGTGCGATCAATTCTTTGATAGATGTATGACCACCAAGCTCAATATACCGGGTCCATTTCGTGGCTTTTCCAGTGACATGGAAATCAAAAACTGCTCTAGTAGCTTTGTATGTGAGCCGAGTAGCGACTACTACTGTAAGTAAAATCTTTATGAAGGCTATACCGTTAAATGTCTTTAATAGGCTCTCCTCCCTTTACCTGAAAATTATTCCTCCCATCCAAAACACCTAAAGAAAATCCCTCGATAACAAGCTCCTTTAAAATAAATTCCATATTTACTTCCCGATGGGATGTCTTTGAGGAACAATTATTATACAGCTGATAACTTTTCAATGCAATTCGAAAAAAGTTAAAGAACTCTGCTCGAACTGATATCAGTATGCTATCAGGCCGGCGCTTAATACAAGAGTTTGTAAGCTGTAGAGACCTGGAATTTTCAATTGTGTAATATAATCCCTCCCTCCTCGGATGGCATTCTAATCAACCACAGGGTAAGACCCAAGTATTTGATTTCCTGGTATCCATTATGCACCTGGGAGAGGCTGGTGAGAGTTAACTGCCTTGCTCTTTAACACAATGCAACAATGCCAGCCAGGGCCACTTGATCCGGTGTCCACTTGATCGAGAGTCCACGCCTGGGTTGTTCGAAAGGTGGATAACGCTATCCACCGGATAGACTGCTGGCAGTCTGCTTTTCTCTCGAAATTCAGCAGAGGTTACGAGGCGAGACGCTTTAGCCCAAAGGGGAATGGGACGAGACATGGGCGCGGCACGCACGAGAAGAAAAATTTTTCTCGTCTTGCTTTCTTCCCTACTCGGCCATACCGCCCTTGTCTCGCTTTCTTCCCTACTCGGCCACCGCCATACCGCCCTTTTGCGTTCGCGATGACTAAACACTTGTCTAAGTGACCCTTAGAAAAAAAAAAAAACGGCTGTCAGCAGACTATCCACCGGATAAATCACTATCCAGCGCATAGCGTGGTTCGTCTTTGTTAACACTTATCCACTGAATAGCGATTTATCCGGTGATTTATCAACTGGAGCGAACACACAAAGCCATTAACCACTGCGTTCACTTTCCACAACATCCTTATATAGGTTCCACCATTTCTTAAAGGTAACCATTCGTAACCCTTGATAACAAAACCGGCGCTTTTCCTCAAGTTTCATGAAAAATAGATCATTACCTTGGCTTTGCATCATGTTTTGATGTTTCTGCAGAAAAAATGCTTGGAGTGTATGAATCTACTTATTGTCAATCAACTGATTGCCTTCAAACTAGTAACATCGTACCTTGATTCTTTTCTTTACAGTGTGCAAGCTTATGAACAGCACTGGAATGATGGCCTCTTGCTCTCTTCACTGTTGTGAGGGTGACATGTGTAATGGAGCTGTTCACCTCCCGGGTTTTATTCGCAGGCTGCTCTCAAGAATTAATTGAAAAGCACGATAGATCAACAGTTTCCTTAACTGATTTAACCTTTAGGCATCTGGCTATGTTTTACAAAAGCCAGGATTGTGGTTAACAAGTGCAAGATATGTAGACCTTTTAATATAGACAAACACAAGTTGAACGCCGACTCAGCCGTTCGTGTTATCTCGTTCCCAGAGGCTGAGATCATTTTTTAGCACTAAACTTGGCGCACGATTGATTACCGCTGAACAAAAACCCGCGGGCCCCGGGCAGAGATGGCCGTCAGTGTCGGCGGTGTCCTATTGTTACCATACTTCCTGGGCCGAGTTGTTCGAGGGTCGGTTAACGCTAAACCAGGATTAAAAGTTAACCGAAGAATGAAGTTTTCTTGTATAAAAATGTTTTTCACTGTTTATGTTTTCTGTAGTTTGAGATTATTCAAAATCAAAACTGAAGGTTAAACAATATAAACAGAAAAACTCACCAAAAAGTTGCAAGTTTAAAATCAAAATTCTCGCTAACCCTGAGTTAGCTTAGCAGGGCTTTGAACAACCTGGCCCTGATCTCGTTGTTTGTAAGAGCCTAAGTTGAAGCGAGTGGAGTGTTTTTACATAACGTCACGGCAGCTATATCGGTGTTCCAAAAAAATGAAACGGCGGCCATGTTGGTGTACCAAACCAATCCTGTGGGAGTTGAACTCTTTTCTTATGCAAACGCTATCTTTTATTCCACTAAATTTGCATGTGTGACGGCCACGTGAGTGAAAACGCCCTATGGCTGCATTAAACAATCTTGTAAGAATGTTAATGGAAAGAGCTTTTAATAATGGCTATTTTTTCGTCAACAGCACTTTGTAATAACGGTGGCTTTGGAAAAATCGTAATTTATGCACTGATCACCGGTTCATACCAGCGTCTTTATATTGAATTCGCTGATCGCTTTTTAGTATAAATAAAACCCCTGATACTTGAACATTTCCTAGTACTGTGATTCTCTTTTGAGGCCTATCTTGGTCCTAGAAGTTTCCTTTCTTCTTCTTGCTACTCAAGTAACACCTGTTCACCGCTTCACGAGTAAAATTTGGCTGGGAAATAGAAAAGAGGGAGCCCGTAAGGCTAGGGTATTGCAGCCCGAGTCTCCAGGGGACGTACTCGGTATCTTTGTGTGTGGGAAGCACGAAGAATGACATACAAGTCCGAGGCCTAAATTGTTAGAAATTAAAAAGAACCCGTGGGACCAGGATATTAATAGATCTTAAAAGAGCCTTTCTAAGTTCAAACTAGACCCAATAAAAATCGGAAACTATGGGATTATATATACCCCCACAAAAACTACCAAGCTACTACATAAAAAGTTATTAGATCAGAAAATTTACTCTTCGTTTCAAGATGGCGGACATGTTAGACTATCATGGCCGTTGTTTTGGGCTTCATCCTCTTTTCAACCCGAAAAAGAGTTAGGATTCTAATATCTAGTGATAAAGTTCCAGACGAGAGTAGACCAAAAACTAGTAAGGGAGTAGGAAAACGCTATTAGACGTGAATTGTTGGACCTCGTCTCAAGATGGGGGCCATATTAGACTAACACTGCTGATGTTTGACATCATTCTGTTTTTCACCCGTTGAAGAAATGGGATTCTACCATCGAGAGATTAAGTTTTACGTTACAATTCTATATCTTGATATCCCCACGAAAACTACCAAGCTACTACATAAAGAGTTCTTAGACCAGATAATTTACACTTCGTTTCAAGAGGGCGGCCATGTTAGACTATCATGACCGTTGTTTGGACTTAATTCTCTCTTCATCCCGTGAAAGAGATGGGATTCTAATATCGAGAGATGAAGTTCCAGGCGAAAGTCACTGCCTTCATTTAAAGACAAAAACTAGCAATGTACTAGACAAAAAGGATAATAGACCTGAAATGTTGGACTTCGTCCCAAGATGGGGGCGATATCAGACTAACACTGCCGATGTTTGACATCATTCTGTTTTTCATTCATTGAAGAGATGGCACTACGATCAAGAGATGAAGTTTTACGTTACAGTTTTACACCTTGATATCCCCACAAAAACTACCAAGCTACTACATAAAAAGTTATTAGACCAGAAAATTTACTTTTCGTTTTAAGATAGCGGCCATATTAGACTATCGTGGCCGTTAATTTACGTTGCTTGGACTTCATCCTCTTTTCAACCCGTGAAAGAGATGGGATTCTAATATCAAGAGATGAAGTCCAAGGCGACAGTAGACTGCCTTGATGGAAAGACAAAAACTAGCGAGGTACTAGGAAAAACCTTATTAGACCTGAAATGTTGGACTTTGTCTCAAGATTGAAGCCATATCAGACTAACACTTCGTTTCAAAATGGCAGCCATGTTGGACTATCATGGCCGTTGTTTGGTCTTCATCCTCTTTTCAACCCGTGAAAGAGATGGGGTTCTAATATCGAGAGATGAAGTTCAGGGCGACAGTAGACTGCCTTGATGTTAAGACAAAAACTAGCAAGGTACTAGGAAAATCGCTCTTAGACCTCGATTGTTGGACTTCGTCTTAAGATGGGGGCCATATCAGACTAACACTGCGGATATTTGAGATCATTCTGTTTTTTCACCTGTTGACGAGATGGGATTCTACCATCGAGATATGAAGTTTTGCGTTTCAATTTTATATCTTGATATCCCCATAAGAACTACCGAGCTACTACATAAAAAGGTTTTCGACCAGAAAATTTACACTTCGTTTCAAAATGGCGGCCATGTTAGACTATCATGGCCGCTGTTTTTCACCCATTGAAGAGATGAAATTCTACCATGGAGAGATGAAGTTTTACGTTAGCAGTTTATATCTTGATATCCCCACAAAAACTACCAAGCTACTACATCAAAAGTTATTAGACCAGAAAATGTATACTTCTTTTCAAGATGGCATCCATGTTAGACTCTCATGGCCGTTGTTTGGACTTCATCCTCTTTTCAACCCGTGAAAGAGATGGGATTCTAATATCGAGAGATGAAGTTCCAGTCGACAGTAGACTGCCTTGATGTACGTAAAGACGAAAACTAGCAAGGTACTAGGAAAAACGCTCTTAAACCTGAAACGGTTGGACTTTGTCTCTAGATGGGGGCCATATCAGACTAACAATGCCGATATTTGACATTCTTCTATTTTATTACCCGTTGAAGAGATGGGATTCTACCATCGAGAGATAAAGTTTTTCGTCACAATTTTATATCTTGACTGACTTTACATTTTCTCTTGACTTTACTGAATACACATCAGTGAAGTAATGGAACTGAGCATTCAAGCTTCATTTTTTGCTTGCTAGGGCAATCCCTAGCGAGACGTCCTTGTTATCCACATGAAAAACAGGATCCAGATTCCCCATTCCCTCCTGTATGGCAACAAGTCTATCCTTGTTCTTGTCTCAGAGCGGAACTTCGTCACGTTGGAGTTGCCATTAAAACATAGGCCCATGCAATTGGCCTTTAGTTCGACTTTCAGGTTTTTTGAGCGCCTTTCGCAATCTGTTCCCTGAAGCTGACTAACCTGGGAACGCAAGTCCTTTACCATAGTAGAGAGCTCCTATCGGGGAAAGGGAAAAAAAAGGGAAACAATGAAATTTTTGAGGACGAAACCTGGGTAATTTGAATCCAGTCTAAGTCTATCACCAAATCCTCGACCACTTTGGCACAATTTCGTTCTCATTTGAAAGGCGTGGAGTCTATAGAGTGCCAGTAATTTTTAATATTAGGACTAGTTGCTCTTAGGATTATTTTTTATTTTAATTCTGATTTTTTCTTAGCGAATATAGTAATTGTAAGTAGTAATGTGTTATCGTAAATAGTCGTGCTCTTCGGAATATTTTATATTTTAATTCTGAATTTATCTTAGAGAACATAGTAAAGTAAGTAATAATGTTATCGTAAATAGTCATGTTCTTAGGAATATTTTATATTTTAATTCTGAATTTATCTTAGAGAACATAGTATAGTAAGTAATAATGTTATCGTAAATAGTCATGTTCTTAAGAATATTTTATATTTTAATTCTAAGTTTATCGTAGCGAATATAGTCATTGTCAGTAGTAATGTTATTGTAAATCGTCGTGCGTTTTTGTCATAAGGGCCTCGCTCGGGAGATTGGGCAGCAACTCCCTACGTTTACGGCTCAAAATAAATTTACCTTACCTTATCTTACCTTAAGTAAGACAAGTGAACGAGCTGACCGTCAGCGTGACTGGCGCGTGCTAATTAGGGGGGTTGACACTCCTCGGTCTCTGGCTCCAAGTTGAATTCCCAAGAAATAAACGGAAACAAAGCTCCTGTGCGAGAGAAATCGTCTTCTGCAGTTAAAAGTAGTCACGCACTCAAAACGACTAGATTGACTGACATATCGCATAGTGGAACACAAATAGGATGTAATATCCAGGGTTATATTCGCCATTGCTTATTAGCGCCTGGACCGTAAACGTAAAGGAGGTTGAGAGGTGCGGAAATATCTTGAAACCGTAAAGCCTATATAATATATTTAACAATTAGATTATTCGCTCGAGATTTCTATGAGGCGATAGTTGATGAGACCGAACTGAAATTTATTCAAATAACAGTTTCAAGTTATTTCTCGACGTATTGTTAAACTTTTTGCCTTAGAGAGATCGCTTGGATTGAATTGTCATTTGAAATTGCAGTTGTGTCCATGCGCGCATCATTTTTTCAGTAATTCTAAGTTTTTTAAAGTCTCGAAACCGTAAATGTCCTTCTTTTAGTCATCTCAGGAATTTTAATTAGCCATTTGCATCAAAATATTCCTTCAAAACTTTGGAAAACCGGAAAAAACGTCGTCACTTCGTACGCGACCTCCAGCCACTGCACACTAATGGCTGATAGTGTGCAAAAGCTCAGCCAATCAGATTACAGCATTTGCATAAGTATACTAGTAGAATTCTACTAATACATAATATAATATATAATATAACATATCATATAACATATAATATAATATATAATATAACATATAATATAATACA